TTCGATACCCGTGGTGAGCAGAGCACAGATAGCCTATTGTGTAGCTTTGTGCTTAACTACAAACAAACAATAAATTGTCTGTCTGGCATTGGCTGGTAGTTAGGCTATTCCATTTGCAATCTGCGGATCCCGAGTTCGAGTTCCGTCACTAAACATGCTAGTCCTTTCAGTTGTGGGGACGTTATAAAGTTACGACAAAACCCACTATTCGTTGGTAAAAGAGTAGCCCAAGACTTGGGTGGTGTCTACTAGCTGCCTTTTATCTAGTCTATCACATCTAAACTAGAGATGGCTAGCGCAGATAGCCCTTGTGTATCTTTGCGTGTAATTCAACAGACAAACCAATCCAATATTTTATGTCTAACGTGAACCCAGCTTGGCACTAAGCCTTACATTTTAGTTGTATTAGAACACAGGACGTAACCATGTAACAATGTGTTCTGATCAGACAGCACATCCACTGTTTGTTATCTACGTAGTATTTATTTATGAAACTGAAATGTTGGTGTAAATTATATAAATATATATTTTAGAAAAAAAAAAACCTTCTGCAACCCCCACATCGTGTTTTAATTTTCATGATACACTAAATATGCCATTGTAATTCATAGTTTGCTTATAATTGTTGAATATTCTTTAAAAATTTACTAAGAAATGCGTATATCAAAAAGTACATAAAACAAATGTTCTCAAGGTAGATACTTTGTGCTATATAATTACTTTGGAACATACCATGTGCATTGTTTCAAGATGGGTACTTTGTGTTATCTAATTATTTTGGGACATTCCAATAAGGTACATAATGTGCATTGTCTCAATCTTGTAACACAAAGACTTTGGGTCATATCAAAAAATAAATTCCAGTTGTAATAAGAAAATTAAAATCTTATGCAACATATTTCTCTTATTTTTTCTGACTTGAGATAAAAAATCTAAGTGAGATTGTACCACAGAGGTCAGAGTTCGTAACATGAATGAAAAATGTAAACTTTGTGCTTATATTTATCCAAAATGTTATCGTCTCAACGATGGTCAGTCAACATTTCAACCAAGTTGGGGTCTCTTGACTTCAATGAATTCTAAGTTCGGGTATCTAGATTAGTAATCATCATTGTTATTCAGATCTGTTCCTATCCATGTTACATAGAGCCATGACTATCCATGTTACATAGAGCCATGACTATCCACGATACTCAGAATCATAACTATCCATGTTACATAGAGCCATGACTATCCATGTTACATAGAGCCATGACTATCCACGATACTCAGAATCATAACTATCCATGTTACATAGAGCCATGACTATCCACGATACTCAGAATCATAACTATCCATGTTACTCAGAACCATACCTATCCATGTTACTCAGAACCATACCTATCCATGTTACATAGAGCCATGACTATCCATGTTACATAGAGCCATAACTATCCATGTTACCCAGAGCCATAACTAAACTATCTATGCTACATAGAGTCATAACTATCCATGTTACCTAGAGCCATAACTAAACTATCTATGTTACATGGAGTCATAGCTATCCATGTTACCTTGAAACATAATTGTCCTTTTTTTAAGAGCCATAAAAATCCACGTTTCTCAGAGTCACGAGCATCCGTGTTTCCTCGAGTCATAACTGTACATGTCACACAGACTGTCATGCGTCCGTTTTTTCCCTTCTGACGTGTGCTGTTGTTTACTTTAACAGACAGTTTTGATCGTAGTATTTCAAGTGTTAATAAGGACGTGTGTAAGCACGAGCTGCTGCAAGTGAATGTATTGACTGACGTATGATTTAGGTTAATGGTTTCCTCTACCCACCTATTAACTCTTAGAAGAAACCTCGACCATCAGTGAGAACCTACCTATACGCCATCTAACATTTTAAAACTAAGTTCAATTATAAACATTGTGTATATCGGAGGCAAGAAAACAAAGATGCGTGTTTTAATTATTAAAACCTATAATAAACTGGAAAGAAAAATAGAAAGTCATGAACAGTAATAATGAACTACAGAGAGCTGTTTTCTAAATAACTGAAGCCCCCCTAATAGCTTAGCGCTAAGTCTGTATACTTATGATGCTAAAAGTCAGGTTTCGATACCCATGGTGAACAGAGAACACACAACCCATTGTATAGCTCTGAGTTTAGCAACAACCAAACCAAACAATTGAAAATTGTTCTTAAAGTCCGCGTGTACCGTAGGTCACTGACCTAAGAATAGCGTGATGTAACCTTATGTTATTTTGTGTTACAGGTGATGGCAAGAAATATTTCTTTTAAATCAGATAAATGCCTAAAATGCTTGACATTATTCGAGTCTGAAATGTTAGTAAAGCACGTTGTTACAGTTTTTCAATTGGTTAACAGTGGAGTCAAGAAGTAATGGACCCTACTTGTAGACACACAACTTAACCAAGAAATAATGGACCCTACTTGTAGACACACACAACTTAACCAAGAAGTAATGGACCCTACTTGTAGACACACAACTTAACCAAGAAGTAATGGACCCTACTTGTAGACACACAACTTAACCAAGAAGTAATGGACACTACTTGTAGACACACAACTTAACCAAGAAGTAAT